TTACTGCGGCTGAAATATTCATTTTTAGAGCGTTAGTGAATTAAAAAAAAGCAGTATAAAAACCGGAATGTCCAACTGATAAGGCTGAAAATTTTTTCACTTGTTATCTTCAGTAAGATAAATACATTCACCAATTTTTATTAAAATAAAACCATTTAAACTGGGTGTTCGGATTTATATGTCACTTAGTATGGTTTGTTAGCTGCTGTTACTTGGGCTGGAAGTTACATAGAAAACCTGCGGAGTCTTGATGCAGATCTGGTGCGTCTTAAAAACAAATCAGCTATAAACAATTCCTACGCCGCTGTTTCGCGCGTATTGACAATACACAAAGCGGCTAGGTCATTGTCCTTTGAAAACTAATTATTACACACATCGACAATCCGAACAGAATAATATAGCAATACTTTTTTTTATTTTAATTAAACAATAGGCCGAATAATTATTAAGCAGCAAAATAAGAGCCTGACAAAAGGAGATATTTCTCCATTGTCTTCAGGCTGTCCATAAATTGACGATGGACACAACCAAACTACGTATTTTGCGGACGCATCGCAGAGCGCGTATGTGTATGTGTACATTGCATAATTTGTTCTCATGTGCATCGCGATCCAAATCCAGCCGAGAAACAACAGAACGCGATTAAATTCTGTATATACAGATTCGTCTGGTAGATTGCCAACCACAGTCAACAATGTTTTTCAGTACCACTCCACTATTTTACTGATATCTTCAAATGAAAAACATTCTAACATCCCCACCGTTAATAACAACCAGGAAAATTACAAATTGTTTGTGGATAATTCAAAATTATTATCAAATGTCAAACAAGAATCCTGGGAACAATTATACTCTATAAATAACATAGACAAAGAAACGGGACTGTCCATAGAGAAAATAAGAAAACTAATAGATATTAGTACCAATAAAGTAATAATTAGTCACAAAGAGAAAAGCAGAAATGCCTGGATTACCAAAGGATTACTAACATCGACAATAGAAAAAGAAAGACTGTATAATGTAATGAAAGTAACGCCAACTACAGAGAATATCGACTGCTACAACCAATATAAAAATAAATTTATAGAGCTTGCAAGGCAAACCGAACAAAAACATTACCTAAATAAATTGAATAATAACTTAAATGGTCCTAAGCGGCTTTGGACAACTATTGATGAGATTACTGGGAAAACAAAATTTAAAGAGTGTTTTTTTTTTTTTTTATTTAATTACCCGCTTCGACCTAAAGGCCATTAGCGGTACGGCTTAAATGCTATATTTTATATAATACATTAGTTTGCTGTAGGAAACGTAATAGATTGTTTATGTTGCTATTTGGTGCTAAAATATCACACATGGTTGATGATGTGAGGTTACATTCCACTCTATAGTGCTCTAACAAAGGGCACTGCACTAATATGTGTTTGACACTGAGATGGGTTTCACACACTTCGCACATGGGTTCTGGTTCCTGCGTGATGAGATGTCCATGGGTGATCCGGGTGTGACCTAAACGGAGTCGTGTGATGATTGTTTGGTGTTTTCTGTTTGTTGTGTGTGTTGTCCATGGTCCGAATCTGGGTTTCAGTTCAAACAGCTTTGATGTGTTGTTCTGCCAGTTGGTATTCCAGGTTTGAATAGCTCTTTGTTTAAGGTGAGATTTTATGTCTGTATCTGGGATGTTTATGGTTGATATGTGATCCAAGTTTGCTGCTAGTTTAGCTTGATGGTCTGCTTTTTCGTTGCCTTGGATACCAACGTGAGAAGGAGCCCATACGAATACAACATCATGGTTGTCTGCTTGTAATGAGTGGAGAATCTGCTTAATTTGGTGCACCAGGTGGTTTTTTGTATATATCTGCTCAATAAGCTGAAGCGAGCTTAGAGAATCAGTTATTATGAGGCTTCGTTGGATATTCTGATTCTGTACGTGTTTCATGGCTTCTAATATTCCATATAATTCTCCTGTTAGAATTGTTGCTTCATCTGGTAATTTCATTTTAATGGTAGTAGAGGATGTCACAACTGCTGTTCCTACTCTATTGTCAAGTTTTGATGCATCTGTATATATTTTCTCATGGTGTTGGTATTTGTTGACTATTTCCTGGAAATTTTGTACTATTACTGGTGCTGGCGTGTCTGTTTTACTCATTCTTGTGAGAGCTTTGTTGATGCTTGGCCTCTGCATTGTCCAAGGAGCAATGTCTGCACTAGGTCTGATGGTAGTTGTAGGAATTTGTGCGATATTTAATTTTCTCAAGTAGTCGGAGGTTCTTCTGTAAAACGGTTTTTTCTGTGTTGCATTGGAAACGCCCAGCTGGATTCCTCTATTAATCTGTCCTATGTACTTGTGACCAGGGATACTTGGATTTGATGCTATTTTAGTGGCATATGTTAAGCTTAGTATCTCCCTTCTGTCATTCAGCGACAGTTCGCCGGCTTCACAATATAAGCTTTGGACTGGTGTTGTTCTAAATGCTCCAAGTACTAAGCGAAGTGCTCTGTGGTGTATGCTATCCAAAGGTTTTAGAGTTGAACGGCTAGCTGAGGCGTAGATTATGCTACCATAGTCTATTTTAGATCTTATCAGTGATCGGTATAGGTAGAGCAAGGATTTGCCTTCAGTTCCCCAGTGTCTGTTGGATAAGTATTTTAATACTGTCATTCTTTTTTCACATTTTGTAACTAGGTACTCTATGTGTTTTTTCCAGGTCAATCGATGATCGAATACGAGTCCCAGAAATTTGATTTCTTGTGTTTGCTCTAAGGATATGTTATGAAGTGTTAGTGGTACTCTGAGTTGGATTATCTGTCTTCTTGAGAATATAATATATTTTGTCTTTTCAGGTGAAAATGATAACCCGGAGTGTTTTGTCCATTGTTCCAATTTGTGAATTGTTTTTTGTATGAGTTCTGTATTGGTTGTTGGGTTTTTTCCTCTTATATACACTATCATATCATCCGCATAAAGACGTGCTTGAACTGGTTTTTCAATGTAACTAAGAATGTCGTTGACAGCGATTAAGAACAATGTCGGGCTGATTATTGATCCTTGTGGGATGCCATTTTCTTGTAGTTTGGGTTTGGATAGAACTCCATTCGAACGGACTTGAAAACTCCTATTGCTCAGAAAATTGGATATAAAAGCAACGATATTCCCATCATAACCCCGTCCGTGTAATTTTAAGATGATATCATGTCTCCAAATAGTGTCAAATGCTTTAGTCATATCAAAGTATACCGCAAGGCAATGCTGTTTGTTCTCGAAAGCTTCATATATGTATGTTTCCAGGTCTACTGCATTGTCTATGGTGGATCTGTTCTGTCTAAAACCGGACTGCTCCTTAGCTAGTAGATTCGACTTATTTAGGCTCCATAGGAGCCTTTTATTGATGATTTTTTCTAATAGCTTGCACATAGCGCAGGTTAAACTTATTGGTCTATAAGATTCAGGCACAAGAGATGATTTGGTTGGTTTTAGTATCGGTATCGTTAATGCTTGGCGCCATATATCAGGAAACATATTCTCAGTCCAGATTTTGTTGAAGATTCTTAGTAAATGTTGTTTAGCTACTTGAGGAAGATTTTTCAGAAAGATAGTAGGTATGTCGTCAGGTCCTGCAGTAGTTTCTTTCAAGTCGTTAAGGGCTTCTTCCATTTCGTGTTCGGAGATTATTATATTCACTGGGTCTTGGTTGTTCTGTATTGATATTGGTATTGATTCTAGCTCTGTTTTGTGTTTTAGAAATTCATCGCTGTAATTTTGGTTGCTGGAACTTTTGAGGTAAGTTTCACTAAATGCTTCAACTATTGCTTCATTCGTTGTGTGTGTTGTGTTTCCATCCTTCAAGCATTTTATAGGTGAGTATGACTTGGCTCCGGTTATGCTTTTGATCTTCTTCCAGACTGTTGCTAATGGTGTTGAACTATTTATACTACTTACAAACTTTTTCCAAGAATCCTTTTGACTTTTCTTTGTTATTAGTTTTGCACGTGACCTCTTTCGCTTTAAATCTATCAGGTTGTCAGTAGTTCTTTGTCTTTTGTATTTATTTAATGCTTTCTTGGTTGCTGTGATTGCTGCGCCGCACTCTTCGTTCCACCATGAAACGGAGTTTTTGTTTATCATTGGTTTGGTTTTACCGATGTGATTATGTGCTGCGCTCAAGATGATATTGTTGAAATTGTATACACTTTGGTTAATGTCGCTAACTATTTGAAGTTCTTGGATGTGTCGTTCTATGTAGTCCGAGAATTTCATCCAGTCGGCTTTATACAAATTCCACCTTTCGAATGGTGTAGTTCTGTTTTGGACTTCCGTATTAGATATTCTGATAGGAAAGTGGTAACTTCCATAAAGGTCATCTAGTACTTGCCAGTGCAGTGAGGTTATCACATTTGTTGAGGTTAAAGTTAGGTCTATTGCTGAGAATGTTCCATTTCCAAGATCAAGCCTTGTCTCTGTACCATCATTCATTATGCTAAGATCAGTTGTATCTAGTAAGTCCTTTACTATTATTCCTCGAGCATTGTTTCTTTTGGAACCCCAAACAAGGTGTTGGGCGTTAAAGTCGCCCATGGTGAGTCGTGGAGAGGGTATCTGTTGGAGTAGCATTTCTAGTTCATTAATGTCTAATTGATAGTTCGGTGGTATATATATGTTGCAGATGCTGATCTTTTGAGGGACTTCTATTGTGATAGCAACTGCCTCTAGCTATGTATTTAGATTTATAGGTTTCGCTACTATATTACTTTTAATATATATAGCAGTGCCACCGCTAGCTATTTGATTGGAAGTATAATTACGGTTCTTAAAGAATCCCTTGTAGTCTTTTGGTGAGTGTGTGTTGGTATCAGTAAAGCGAGTTTCCTGTAAGCAGATTATGTCTGGATTTTGATCTGATATGAGTTTCTGTAGCATGTTCAGATGACTATAGTACCCATTGAGGTTCCACTGCAACAATGAAGTTAGTCCAATGTGCATTACGATTTTCAGGTAATTAGAAAGTTGAATCTATGGAGGAGGTATCACTAAGGCATTCGTTAGTGTTGTTGTCAATGTAGCGTTCTAGCTTTTTACGGAGTCTTGTGCATCTGTTTTTGACTGTTTTATCGGTTATGTGGGAGTATACTAATAGTATCATTTCTATAAGTCCTTTAATGTCATCCGTATAATCTTTAATTATATTTGTGATGTCTTGTGTTCCATGACTGTTCTCGAGAAGGCTTTTAAACTGGTCACAATTCAAGGGAAGGGCAGGCATCTGGTTGTCTATGAATGTTTTGGCGGTTGCTAGAGCGTCTTGGGAGATGTAGGATGACTGCATATCTGTTTTATGTTTCTTTGATTTAATATTGTTGGGAACTGCAAATGTAGGAGGGGTTAAATTTTCATGCGTAGGAGTTGTCGGTGAGATTGTTTCTGAGAAGTAGCGTTTTGGGGATGGGTTGTTGTGAGTAGCTATAAATTTACTGCCTGTTGAAGTGTGTGGTATAACTCTATTTTGTTGATCCGGTTTGTTTTGTTGGGTGTAATTTTGTATTTCTGGTATCAGCTCTTGCGTTTTTCTGGTGGGGATTGAACTTTTGTCGATTACTGATTGGCTAGTATTTGGTAGATCTACATCTGCTTCACGCGGGTTAGGTAATTGTTGAGATAGTGCTGTTTCTTGGGTCTCTGTTGTTATTATTTGTTGATTGCTTGTGTGGTGTGTGCTTGTTGATTTAGTTTCTTTGGTAGATTGGGTCTCATGTGGATTTGTTTGTCGTTGCTGGGAGGGTAATGGACACTGGGAAGCTATATGACCTTGTTTGTTGCATTTGAAACACTTTTGACTATCTAGCGATAGAAAAATGCGGTAGGCTAGGTTTTCATGAGTTATTTCAATGGAGTCTGGGATATTTAGGGACTGTTGGTTGAGTTCTATGTAAACTTGTCTACGAAAGCTCAGAATATGACTGTACTCTGGAAGTGGAGCACCTATTCTCAAGAATGAAATTGGCGATACGAGTTTCAGACCTAGTTGCAGTAGTTTTTCATTAAGAACTGAGTGAGGAACTGTAGGACTCACATTTGATATCACTAGACGGTCTGAAGGAGAAACTAATCTCCGTCCTCTCAAGATCTCACCATTTACTTCTATTTGTCCATGATTCTCTAAAAAGGTGTCTACTAACTGTTTAGTTGCTAAATATATACATATTCTGTTGTTGGAAATTCTGGAACAGAACAATATATTTTTCGGGTTGACGATTGGACCAAGCTTAAGTAGGTAGTCTTGTAGCTTAGCTCCATCAGAAGAATTAAATATAATCGCTTGATCCTTGTTTGGGTACTTGACTGTGTTTTGAGTAAGTACGTTTGAGTAGGACTGAGCTGTTGTGTTGCTTTCAGATGAGTTTTGGTTATTAACAGATGACATTATGGTATAGTGAAATAAACTCCAGGTAGATGCCGTATCATTTCTCGATACGGTCCTGCTTATCCGCAAATATTTGTTGTGTTTGGGATTACCTGTGCTAGCGCACGCCGGAGATATCGTAAGTAATTATTTCAGATTCTGATCTTATTTATCGCATAAACGTAGAGTATTTACTCACAATATGTTCTTAATGGTTCACACTTATGCACTGGTACTCTTGCAGGAATTATTGATGATTTATTAACTAGTTTGTTAGTAAAAAATGTAGAGATTCACTCGGTATCAACCAATTCGATTTTGGTCAGGACCGAACTCATTTAAAGAGTGTGTCACTGAGTTAAATACAACATCGGGAACAGTATTAAAAAATACTCAACAAATATGCGATGAATTTGTACAATTTTTTACTGACATAGGCGAAAATTTACCAAGTAATATACAAGCAAATGTACAAAATACTCAGCCTCCAAAAAGATCTTTGAACTCATTTATTTTGGATAAAGTCGAGCAATGTGAAGTATACACCACTGTTATGTCCTTAAAAAATCGAAAAAGTCCTGGGTTCGATGGTATTAAAAGCGAGCATTTGAAAATTATAGCCGAGGACATAACAGAACCACTCACTTACCTAATCAACAAATGCTTTGAATCTGGCATATATCCCTCAATTTTAAAAAAAGGTAATATAATACCGATACATAAATCTGGAACAAAAACAGATGTTAACAACTATAGACCAATATCAATAATATCCAGTGTGGCAAAGGTTTTTGAAAAAGTTTTATCTACTAGAATGATTCGATACCTCGCAGAATTCAAAATTTTAAGTGAAAATCAATATGGATTTACAGAAGGGAAGGCTACATCGGAGGCAATAACTAAAATTGTAAATCAAATACATCAAAATATTGATAACAGAATCCCTTCAATCTGCATTTTTGTTGATTTAAAGAAAGCTTTCGACACAGTTAATCACAAATTATTATTAGAAGCATTGGAGAGAATTGGTTTCAGAGGAAACGCATACTCACTGATCGCCCTGTCAAATCGCCCACAATCTGTGCAGATATCAGGATCGTTTAGTAAAGAAATGTATATTAAGTGTGGTGTCCCACAAGGAACTGTCTTAGGCCCGCTGTTATTCAATATATATTTAAATGATATTTTCCAAATTAATTGTGTTGGCAAAATAACCAGTTTTGCAGATGATACTGCAATATTATAGGAAGGCATTGGCTGGTCTGATCTGAAAAATGTAATTGAAAATGATTTTATCAAAATTATTCGCTGGTTTAACAGTAGAAAATCAAGCATTAACTATACTAAAACACATTTTTTACCATTTGGATCTTATGCTAGATATCTGCCAAATTACACAAATTTTTCCTTCAACATTAATGATCAAAAAATGCAAATTAATAGAGTGCCCAACATAAAATACCTTGGAGTGGTCTTGGATCCTCACTTACTATGGGACATCCATGTCAATTATATTTTAAACAAAGTTAGATTTGTATCCTACAAAATTAAATACCTTGGGAATATATTGACAGAAAAATATCTTCGAACATTATACCATGCACTGATTGAGCCTCATCTCACATATGGTATATTAGCATGGGAAGCTGCATGTTCCTCATATATCTATAATTTAGATGTTTTTCAAAAAAGTATTCTTAAAATGATATTTAAAAAACCGAAACTTTATCCCACTGATAAATTATACGCAGATGTTCGAATGTATGATATTAGCTTTATTTCTTACACAGTATCACTCACTACCATAAATTTGTAAACACCGACCAAAAATTAAACATAATCATTATACAAGGTACAAAATTCGTGGCACAGTAGTTCCTCAGCCGCGTAAATCTATAATGCAGCGGTGATATCTCTATTTAGCGCCAACATTTTATGAAATTATACCTAAAGACTTAAAAGATTTACGTTTCGGAAATTGTTTCAAAAGAAATTTTAAAAACTGGCTACATTCTATATCTAGGACTGAAATTCATAAACTCATAAATACGAACATCAAGTAAATACATAATCTACTGTAGCTAATTTTGTCCTTTTTGTCATTTGCATTCTACAGTTGCAACTTCAAATTATTGGTCCATGTACAGGCGATACCTTCTGTTGGGCCTGTTTTGATTTTTTATTTATTTACTCATATTGCTTGTTATCTTTGTACATTGAGTGAATAAATATTATTATTATTATTATTACTATTATTATTATTATTATTATTATTACCCACTAATATTCGCACGTGAATATGCCTGGGGGCACAGACTAAAATGTCGAGACGCTTTTCATCCCTGTTGGGAAGCTCGGAATAACTCGACACGGGTATTACGTAACTTGAAAATTGACATTATGTCGATTCTTTTTACATTATATTGGTCTTTTGTGGCATTATGTAGGTTTTTCCACAACATGTTAAGTTAGAACTAGCTGAGAGACACTTATTGTAAACTCGTTTTGTAGTTGTACGTGTTGCCTAAACGTCATAATGTTTCGACTATCACTGTTCGGCTCTGATGAGATGTAGCATCTGCTTCAGACATGGTATTGCTGGAGGACATATCTGGAAGAAAACGGCAGTTCATAGGTGCATAGTGAGGACTTGTTTTGATGATAATTCTATTGGTTTCTAGTCTCAAATACACTCACTTGAGATGTATGCAAAGCTAAAAGTTAGTTGCGGGTCCGCTTTTTCTTATTCAACCTGGAAATTACATGTGCAAACGTGCTATATTTCAAAAAAGAGAGCGATAAGAAAAGAAAATCCTTGGTTAGTGAGATATATTAAAACTAACAGGTAAGAAAATACGGTACGTACAGGAATATTTATGAAACGTAGTAAAGTTGTTACATTTCACATTAATTTTGGTTTTCAGTCATCTAAATTTTATAGAAATTTATTTTACGATATCAAATCAGTGCCTAGATGCGAGGCAGTGCGAGAATTTTTTTTGTATGTGATTCTAATTTTTCTGTGATGTGGCTTAATTACACACAACGCGGGTGCATTGCTGATTTCCCGTAATGCTAAAAAGGAAAACCGGGAAAATCGTCATGTATCACTTTGAACATAACCTCTTCAAAAGTTTACAAGTTGCATTTGGAAATAAGAGTTTGTTTACGTACCTTACTGCCAGTTGACATCCATTTATTCCGTTTATCGAACAATATGCGAACAGGGAATATGATGTCTCCCAAAAAGTGGAAGACCACGTACGAGCCCATTCCCACTTCAGTTGGCCCAACTATTGAAATCTTAGTTTTTTCTTATCAAACACAAACAATAAAAATGTAGCAGTGTGTTAGAGGTTTAAAATATTAACAATGAATATTTTGATAATAAGGTACCCGGGGGTAATAAGGCCCACCTAAGAAATTATAATTAATATCTACGAGAGAAATTTACTTTTTCAAACTTTTATTATTATAAAAAATAGAAAAGGGTATAAACTAACATAATGGTAATGTTTGAACACAAAATAGTCATGCTTATATGTCGAGACGCGAACATTAAAAAAATTGTCTTCTGGGCCTTAAAGCCTGCAAGTGCATATAATAAGGCCCATATTTAAATGAACAAAAAACAAGTCAAACGAATAAACAAAACACACAAAAAATCAAAAAATAAAAAGAAAATATTAAAATAATGATATCTAAACATAAGTATCAAAAATATCCCTTTGGGCCTTAATATCTGCAACGACATATAATGAGATTTGAATGAGAGATAAAAAAAATAACAGTTCAACAAAATACTAATAGAATAAAAAATAAATGTAGGTAACACACTAAAGAAACAGTATCAAAGATAAAATATGGTATTAAGTATAAATCTAATACTTAAGGCATACAGTCTGGACACAAAAACTTTTCAGTATCGTCCGCAGTCAAACCAGCACAATCCTCATGAACCCAAAAACCACAAGAAGCACATCGTCTCATATCTGCTACATAGTCTTCGTAGCAAATCACACAGTGCCATTCTTCGTTATGTTCTTTTGTTTTTGATGCAATGGAAGACACAGATTCAGATGACGATTTAGCGGTATTCGATAAGACTGGAACGGGATCAAGTTGAGACTCCACCTCCTTCGAACATACGGATCGCTTGACTTCAACTGCTTTGTAATTTATAGCTTTACGTCTTGGAGCAGATTTTTTTTGACTAGATCTGGTGTTGATAACACTTCCGCGAAGCAGTTATTCAAAGGGATTAATTTTTTACGCAATTCACCTAAAGGCAGGTAGTCATCTGAATCATATTCCGAATCATCGGCAGCGGCGGTCGTCTCCTGGTAAGGTTTCTCAGTTGCAAGACTTAGGGCAAATGCTTCAATGGGAAGAACATCCTTATCATAAGGGCATATTCCCGTAGCTCGAAAGCCGTTTGTAATATTTCCAATGGACATTGCTTTCTGCCATGTAGGTGTGAAAACTTCAGAAAATCTTTCCCTGTTTAAATCACGTGTAGGATGTTTATCCCAGTACTTTAACAATTCATCGTCCCAATAAGCTTCAAATGCTCGAAATATAGCTTTTTCCATCGGCTGAAGCTCATGGGTGGTGTTACTCGGCAGACAATATAAGTGAATCTCATGAGCTTCTGCTTTCTCAGCAATGCTAATATCCAAATGGCATTTGGCCCCATCAAAAATTAAAATTACTGGCGGAGGAGACATGTATTCAATGAAATGGTTTAACCACTTATCAAACGTTTCTATCGTTATGCTCCCTTTAGGCGTCATCATAACTTTTGAGCCAGCCGGTAAGCCATCTGAGTAGGTTGGCTTCATTCTCTTGCCCCTAAAAAGAATGACAGGCGGTATGGCATGTCCGAGAGCATTAGCGCAAGCGACGATAGTTGCGTTTTCGGCGTGTTCATGAGAAATTACATGCACTCGTTTTGCTCCTTTGGCTGCCAGAACGTTTTGTTGGTGGCAAAACCCTTCTCGTCCATATTATAAATTTTTGCT